ACCTTGAAGGGCAGAGAAAGTTATACCTTCGCAACAGTATTCATATTCAATCTCCACAATGACCCTATGGATAGTACTATTAGGGTTTTTATTTAATAAAAAGGGAAATGAGGCATTGTTTTAGAGTTAAAAGTAACTTGCATAAGGTTACAGTGTTGGGAAAATATAATGAAAAACAAAACCTGCCGACCCAGAAAAATCTCTTCACAATGGTTAGAAGAGAAAGAAAACAGCATCAAACCAGAATGTGATGTGCATCATAGGCAATCCACTAAAAGATTGTGAAGACAAAAGAAATCTCGTGTTTTGTGTAGCCAAGATACAACCCATAATATACTATTCTTTACATAAACAATAACTTAGCCCTCAAGTAAGGACTAGACAGCACCTTTAATCATACATAAGTCATCCTAACTTTACCTGCCAATTAGGGTGATCATCTGTGTTAGCTAATTGGTTTTATTCTGAGGAAACACAAACTTCACATTTATTTATGACAAGAGAGAGTTTTGCAAATGGGAGCAAGGCGCCCACCTAAGTGAGGCTCCTACCCTTCCATGGAAATTCAGAGACGGGACTCTCTCTCCATTAATGTTTACACTTCAAAGAGATGGCTCTCCCACCTTTCAGAAAGGCATTCTTGGGTCATAAAGCTGACAAAAAGCTTATCTAGTTTTCAAAAGGATTTATATGCATTTCAAAGAGAGGAGAAATTACTTATGTGCTTTAAGGGAAAGGAGGGGAGTCATTCTCTACTCCTATTTTTAACTGGGAAAATTAAGCTTCTTATCTTTTATTTGTATTTGTCCTGACTGTAGCGAATAAATGGTGGAGTTAGGATTTTAACCCAGAGAATCTGACATTAAAGCCCTCTTAAAAAATCAATGTTATACTGCCTCCGTAAGCTTCCTACTAGGAAGCCAATGGAGGAAGTAGGTGCTCTGAGGGAATACATACATTCCCTCATTGGATACTTATTGAGCATCTACTATATACCAGGAGTATATACCAGTTTTGCTAGGAGTAAAGACACAATTATGAATAAAACAGACAAGAGTTTTGCCCTTGTGAAGCTTAGGGTCCGGGTGGAGAGACCTATATTATATGAGTAGTTTTTCAAATCGAACAAAATAATAGAAATTGAGTAAAAAGTACAGGTATTTTGAGAGCATATTATAGAAAGAATTTGAGTGAGTCTAGGTGATCTGAAAGTTTAAGTTGAAAATAGAGTTTGTTGGAAAGGAAAGAAGATAATAAAGAGATTATTTGAAGTTTAAGGTATTAAATCATTTGAATAGAACGAAGATGGAAAAATAAGATGAAAAAGTAAGTGTGCCACAACCTTTGAATGCTTATTCAGCCAGAGTGAAATGGTAACTTTTGATAAAATATTGTATCTTTGTCCTTCATTGATCAGACTATTTACAACCTATAGAGCTATACAGAAAGCAGTTAGTTTGTAGAAAACAGATAACAATGCAAGTATTTCTTATTCATGGTAATGTAGATGATTTTTTTAAGTTTATCTAGTTTGAGAGACAGAGAGAGAGAGTGCCCACACATGCACAAGTTGGGGAGGGATAGAGAGAGGGAGACAGAGAGAATCCCAAGCTGCCTCCTTATAGTCAGCAAGAGCCTGACAGGGGTCACGATCTCATAAACCTTGAGATCAAGACCTGAGCTGAAATCATGAGTTGGCCCCTTAACCGCCTGAGCCACCCAGACACCTCCAGATGATTCTTTTTTATAAAAAAAAATAAATCCAAAGAAATTTTATAAAAATCCAAACAATTTTTTTCTGCCAGTCAATTGATTTCCACATTTTAGAAAATATGATCCCCAAATATTTCATTTTACTCCTTTACAAGAGTATTAGCCAATTTGTATCTATTAACAAGTTCATTAAGTCACTATGGTAGCCTATATAGATGTCTGTTCTTCATATTTTTTAAAGTAGTTTTAATATCTTAACAGTTCCTTTATCATAGATATGTTTAAAAAATATTTGACATCTGTTCATTTTATATTTGTGTAAGAGTCATAATTACACCTTTTTGAAAATTATAATTTAGCAAATGTGGTGTAACGTCTGGTATCATATATTCAGGCAAGGGCTCTTCTTGGTTTGATAATAAAAACAAACTTGTGGCTGTATTTCCACATATAGAAGTGTAGGTGTCACATGAAATACTCATCAATCCTTTGAAATTTTCATAAGTTCTACTCCACGAACTTTTATTAGGTTTGTTTTAATCCTTAAGAAACTCTAAAGTTAACATGATTCAAGGGGAGGGAAACATACGCACACACACACACACACACACACACACAAAAGAAAGAAAGAAAGAAAAAGAAAAGAAAAGAAAAGAAAGTACAAAAAACATGAAGCAACCATAGAGAACTTTAGAAGTCCATAAATCCCAGTCAAATTTTAGTCAGCTCTGAGAAAATTACTATTTGGCTCACATCCTTTATTTCCTCTTACTATCCAGACAGCCTCTCTTTCATTTCATTTTATTTTTTTTTTTAATGTTTATTTTTGTGAGAGACAGAGCACACGTGCGTGCAAGCAGGTGAGGGGCAGAGAGAGATAAGGGGACAGAGCATCCCAAGCAGGCTCTGCGGTGATGGCAGTGAGTAAGCTGGATGTGGGACTTGAACTCACAAACTGTGACGCTGGAATGAGCCACCCAAGTGCCCCCAGGCAGCCTCTCTTTCAAAATTTTAACACGAACCGGGGTGTGCTTGCCCTCCCCAGCTCCTTTCACCTAATTCTTCTGCTCTTACCTCAGACCCTCTGGTTTTCTCCAGTCCTACTGAATTCCTGAGTTGGCTCCCATCAGCATTTAAACAACAAAACAAAACAAAACAAAACAAAATGAAACAGAGCTCTGAAGTTCCAGTCCCATCTCTGCCAGTTTGAATTCACTGCTCACTGGAAGAGAAGCCTCAGTCTGTTGGTTCGTACTGCTCAGTCAGTAGTGCTCATTTCCTGAATAGCAGTTGTATTTAAGATACAAATAAAGACATACAAATATTTTGAAAATTTGAAATCACACTGAAGTTCTCCAATAGTGTAGACAAAGAGTAAGAAAAGACATATCACTGGGAACTACTTGTGTAAACAAGAAATGAAATAAAATATTCAAGAATAAAATAGAGAAAAATAACTTAAGATTTTAATCAGCCATGCCCAAATATAACAGGATTTTAACCTTGGGAGTTACTACTGGAATGTTAAATATCTTACTTTAAAGTGATTTTTCTCTAAAATTTGAATTTGACAAAAAAACAAATAATCCAGTGAAGAAATGAGCAGAAGACATGAATAGACATTTTTCCAAAGAAGACATTCAGATCGCTGAGGGGCACATGAAAAGATGCTCAACATCACTGATCATCAGGAAAATACAAATCAAAACCACAATGAGATACCACCTCACAGCTGTCACAATGGCTAAAATTAACAACACAGGAAACAACAGATGTTGGTGAGGATGCAGAGAAAGTCAAACCCTCTTACATTGTTGGTGGGATTGCAAAACAGGGCAGCTACTCTGGACAACAGCACGGAGGTTCCTAAAAGAAGTTAAAAATAGAACCACCCTATGATTAGCAACTGCACTACCAGGTATTTACCCAAAGGATACAAAAATGCTGATTCAAAGGGGCACATGCACCCCAATGTTGTTACAGCAGCATTATCAACAATAGCAAAATTATTGAAAGAGCCCAAATGTCTTTGGATTTTAAGAAATAAAACAGATGAACATATGGGGGAGGGGAAAGAGAGAGAAACAAACCATAAGAGACTCCTAAGGGTAGAAAACAAACAGGGTTGATGGAGGGAGGTGGGTGACGGGTGGACTAGATGGGTGATGGGTATTAATCAAAGAGAGCACTTGTTACAATGAGCACTGGGTGTTGTAAGGGATGAATCATTGAATTCTACTCCTGAAACCAATACTGCACTGTATGTTAACTAACTGGAATTTAAATTAAAAAAATGAAAATAAAATATAATAAAATAAAATTTGAATTTGATACCATCTCCATAGTTCAAAATCCTTCAAATAGCTTCCCACATATTTTAGATGAATTATAAATGTTTTAATGCAGTCACCCTATTTTTATAGTTTCATTTTGTACCCATGATCCTTGTTCGGGATTTGAAGAGTGGAAGGTGGGGTAGGAGAACAGGACAAAGTTGCCTCCGTAGCAAATGGCATCACTTCATTATCCCATCCCATCTAAAACAGGTAAATATCAACGTATCGGCCAGAATTCTCCAATTTCCACTTCTAGTCCCTTCTAAGAAGGGAGATTCTCAGCCATATAATCTGGATCTTATTGTTGCATAGTTTGTGGCAGCAGGTTTTTTGTTGTTTTATTTTCATCTCGTTAGGGAAGCTTCATCCACTCGGTGAGTCCATATTCAATGGCAAACTCCACACACCTAGGTTTACATGAGGGAGGACTCATTTGCCTCTTATGAAGTGGAAAACGTGCCTCAAAAGGTTGCCCTGCCAATCTATTCGAATTCCCAGTGTTGAAATTAATTGTTTTTAAAGGGTTACACTGTTTTAAATAAAATGGGTTTCACTTTGGACATAGTTTAGTATAAATTCATTGATTAATTAATAAGCCCCTGTTAATTTCATAATACCATAATAAGGCTATGTTTCTGCCTCCATACCATTCCCACACACGAGGCAATTGTCTTAACTATTATTCGACTCATGAATTTTCGGTGAGAACCAGGAACCAAAGCGAAGGATACCTTCCCCCCACCTTCCTCATGATGGTGTTGTATACTTATGTGTGTGTGCGTGTGTGCATGTGTGTGTGTGTGTGTGTGCGTGTGATGGATGATTCAAAAACCTATGGCCTCTGATATGCTTTGCTAGAAAATGAATCCCACTCTTAAGAATTTCTAATCTATGAGAATCAAACCTGCGAGAGGGGCACATTGAATTGGGAGTGCGTGAGGAAAGAAGGAAAGGGTTTAAAGATGGATGGAATGTTGCTAAGAGACAGGACAGCAACACAAGGTGACTCCATGCACACTGGAACCTGGGACGGGAGGCAGTTAGAGAGGGGGGTGCATGCAGGAGAGGTTCCCCAAGCAAACTTAGCCCACTTCCCACATCCAAGCAGAGCCAGTGAGAGCCTCTCTCAGGATTCTCAGCCTGAGGAAAGCAGTTCTGTGTACTTAGATGGAAGAGAAAGCTGTATCGGACCAGTGGCTCAAAAAATAGTTTTAAGAACCCGAGTCTTACCCATTTTCTCATTACTGTGTTCTTCCAATGCCATTTAAAAAAAAAATTCAACCTCCTGTCTAAAAACTTTTCCAATTTACTCTTTTGAGGAAACTTTATATCCTGTGGATCTCTGATACTGTCCTCAGATGCGCTTCTCAGAAAATCTGTCCTGGTTTGCGAGGACTTTGGAACAACGAGAAACAATGAACTACCTGGAGAAAAATACCCACAGGCTCAGGTAGGTGTAAGGACAAAAGCTTGACTTCAGTTTGGAGCACTGTGGTGGACTTGTTGAGAGTATTTATGGTGCATTTAAAATCTGCAATATTTTACCAGCACACCTACCAGCTTTTTGCTCAGATGCCAAAGAAGAAAGGGAAAGAACAGACGAGGCACGATAAACACAATGGCGTGTGGTCCTGCTGCGTTTGTCTGAGGCCGCTCAACACTGAAAGTCAGTTCATCTCCTCCCAGGAAGGAGTGCTTGTAAATTGTATCAAAATGATTCTGGACTCTCAGGCAGGCTGGTTGGCCTGGACTCCTGGAAGCAGTTAGAGAAGCACTCATTTGTAATGTCATGTTGGTTTCTTATTATTTAATATGTCAGCCAAGGGAGAAAATGCCCAGATATTTGTGCTCACAGCAGTGCATGATCTCTTCTTGTGTGAAGGATTGTAAGAGGGAGATGATTACCTTGAAGTGCTTGATTAGAAGAAAGAGTGCATATTTGTTATCTGTGGCTCATAACTATGTTTTTGGTTGACTTTCTGCTGATGTTTTTAAGCATTCTACTCCACATTATTCCAGCTGTGTAGCTTCAGATTTTAATGGAAGCAGCACAGTTCAAAACACATTTGAAATGTATTAGTGATTAGAGAGCAACTTTAAATTCTGTTTACCTATGCATTTTGGAAATGTCTGAAAAAAATATCATTTATTGTCTGCAATACTGTTTCACACTCTGTCAAGAATGTGCAAAGGAAAGAGTATAGTATAGTTTCTTTCCATTTGTTTCTAAATGATCAAATAATGACCATTTATTTTTTGTTGTTTAATATATATGTATACTAAGATAAAAAATGTCAACACTTTTAGGTCTACCTACCATTTTTCACATTTCCGTAAACGTCGTCATATTTGGTTAACAATAAGGTATAAATCTCACTTGAGACTAGAACAAATTTCCATTATTCAAGTTCTTTAGTTTGCTGCTATCCTCGTTTTAGTGATTGGCAGGTTACTAAATTTTGAAGAATGTTTGAGAATTTAAGGCACCTATAGATGAGAGGCAATTCAATGTCTCCTCTGTAGTATTATATTAACTCTTTCAGACTAAGAGAATCCTATTTTCTAGATTATTTTTTCTAATAGACTTCCCAGCACCCCAGGACCAAGTTTAGTGACATTTCAGGGAGTGAATGGAAACCATGAAGAGCATTGTTAAGAGTCTAAAAATCAATCAAGAAATCACTAATGAGGTGTCAGGTTCAAAAGACATTTGAGTTCAGCCCAAGTTTGCTGGTAAGAAGCCAATAGATAGCTCTCTTTTGAAGAAGGTATGATTTTTTTCCAGGACAATTTAATAGAGTGTATGAAATTACCTTATTAAGAAAAGTAGAACTCCTCACCTAAAGTTCCTTTGGGTAACATTTTTAAAGTGAAAGAATGCTTTGTATAAGGTAGTCTTAGTAAAAAGAGTATATAAATATCATATCCCAAAGTTTTAACATTATTGGGATAGGGGTGAAGGGTAAGCCCAGGATGTGCAGATAGTGGCCATTTACACTAATCAGGCTGGGCTTGGTGAATTAGCTGAAGAATTGTTTTATATATGTTTTGGGGCCAGAAATTAAAAGAGGAGAAGACCTGGAAATATAGTGGGCCCGCCCAGGCACTTCGTTCAATACACAGACTAATTAGAGTGGTGAAATGTAGCTAACCTCTTCAATTCATGTACTCTTTGAAAATCATTAAGGACCTTCACCCACCCCCCATGAAAACAGTTTGTCATCTGGGGAAGCTTTCTCTCCCCTTAGTAAGAATCTCTTAAATGAAGAACATAAAGGTTTTTTCTTTGAGTCCTTTCCAGAGAAGAGGACTTTAGTGGGTTTTATTTTCTATCATCTACATTTTTAAAAAATGGAGTTTTTGTTTGTCTTTAAATATAAAATTATAACATTAAATATAAAACTTTTTTTTCAAAATCCCACCACCACATAAAACAAAAGACAACCATTTCTCTACCAACTGATTTAGAGCCTGAAATTTCCACATTAGTTTAATCTTTGGATTTAGGCAACATGGGGATCCTGTTAATGTAATTCTGTCTACGGGTACTTTCCTAGATATACTTTAACAGATTGGTTCAAATCCTTAGTAGGGTTAACTTTTTTTTTAATGTTTATTTTTGAGAGAGAGAGAGAGAGAGAGAGAGAGTCAGAGGGTGGGTGGGGGAGGGGCAGAGAGAGAGGAAGACCCAGAATCCGAAGCAGGCTCCAGGCTCTGATCTGTCAGCACATAGCCAGATGCGGGCTCAAACTCCCCAATCATGAGATCATGACCTGAGCCGAAGTCAGACGCTTAACCAACTAAGCCACCCAGGCACCCTTAAATCCTTAGTAGAGTTAACTTTTGATGAGGAAGCCAAAATATGTCCCTGGTAGGACTGATTGTTGAGGGCAACTTCAGATAAAACTACCATTGAATGGGATACCACGCAATCATGGAAAGACCCCTGAAAAGTGGAGCCCCCTGACAAAGCAGTGGCTGTGCCTCTTTTTCCTTTACAGCAATAACATTTGTGCAGTGCTTGAAGAATTAAACCAGTTATATGTGGCAGACTTCTGTGCTTGTCCCTGGGGCTTCAAAAGATGTCATAGAGATGGAGTAAGTGGAGCTAGTTGATCGAGATTTACAACAAGCTACAAATCTACTGGTTCTTTTTTTGTGCTGTTGACTGTGTTTCACTGTCAGTTTTCTGATGGATATGTAGCATGAGAGGCTGACTTCGATGTTTGCAAAGATATTTGCTATCTTTCTTTTGACCATAGGACTTATAAACATCCTCTAGGCCAGTACAGGGGAAAAATTTTTTTCCTACACCTTTCTAGATTCTTTTGGCTGCTCTATTAATTAAATGGACGTAAGATAGATTAGCAGAAGAAAAACAAATTTAATTACATATGTTCAGGAGCCCAATAAAAATTATGAGACCCAAGGGTAAGTCAAGCAGTTGAGGCTTCTATGCCATCCTGAGCTAAGGAACAGGTTAGCAACCTAGGGCTCCAAAGGGAAGGAAGGCGATTCCCAAGATGATAAAAAGAGCAGATATTTGATAATTAGATGTTTGTCATGGCATGCAAAGACAATTGAACACTGAGAGGAATCTGAACAAACCTGTAGTGCCACGGTCCTCTCCCACCTCACCACCTCCAGCTCATACTCGTTATAGTATCGTTGGTCATAGCTCTTTTCTTAGACCAGGTTCTTCACCTAAATTCTTTTATCAGTTAAGGAGGGTGTAAAAAACTCTTGCCGAGTCTTTTGGGCCTTGATTGTCTTCAGCTCAAAATAATCCATATGCCCAAGTGGCACATTTTGGAGAGCCTCATTCTGAACATCTTCACCAAATAAAAGGCAAATATAGCATGAATAAAAATGTATAGAATTAACTGCAGGCCTCCCCATATTTTTGTGGATCTTACCTTATAATGATATACATTTTGCAAAGCTGGAAGAAAACCACACTCTGGTAAATCATATAATATTCTGCCACAGACTTTTTCTTCAACTTTTTGTTTTTTAAGCTATATATTTCCACACGAGATAAATCTTAACTTTGAAACATCATGAAAATTCATACATGTAAAGGAAAAATAAAACCTTATAATAAAATAATAGCATCAAATAGTTAAATATGATTTTATATATAACTGCTGCACCAAATTAAAAAGTGCCTAATTTCAGTGAAGAATAGGAAAGAACAAACACTAAACATTTTTTAAAGGTTTTCGAAGAACAATTTTTCTCTGTGTACAATTTCTTATCTCAGTTTATTTAAATACTTGGTTTCCTTTCAGGAATCTTTAAACTAAAAGTAGTAATGGCCAACAACAACAGCAAAAACACCAAACTAAACCAAGTAACAGATAGCTTCCACTCCTCCAGTAACATTTGCTCTACACAAAGCACTGTGCTCTACACAAAGCACTCTACACAAAGACATGTGGTCTACATGGGTTATCTAATTTTATCCTCACAAGAGCTTACTGTCGTTATTATTACTGGTGAAAGTGTCCTAAACATATAGAGGTATAAATTTGAAGTATCAACTAGTTCCTCTGAAGTATTTCTCAAAGCATATTGTTCAGACCACCTGTGCCAGAGTCACCTGAGATCCTTATTAAATTCACCTTCTTAGGCCCTTAATACATAGAAATTCTAATACAGAGGTTTGAGAGAGGAATCTGGAATTTGCTTTTTAAATTTTTTTTTTTTTCAACGTTTATTTATTTTCGGGACAGAGAGAGACAGAGCATGAACGGGGGAGGGGCAGAGAGAGAGGGAGACACAGAATCGGAAACAGGCTCCAGGCTCTGAGCCATCAGCCCAGAGCCCGACGCGGGGCTCGAACTCACGGACCGCGAGATCGTGACCTGGATGAAGTCGGACGCTTAACCAACTGCGCCACCCAGGCACCCCTGGAATTTGCTTTTTAAAAAGCACTTTAGGGGTGCCTGAGTGGCTCAGTCGGTTGAGCGTCTGACTTCAGCTCAGGTCATGATCTCGCGGTTTGTGAGTTCGAGCCCCGCATCGGGCTCTGGGCTGACAGCTCGGAGCCTGGAGCCTGCTTCAGATTCTGTGTCTCCCTCTCTCTCTGCCCCCTTCCCACTCTCTCTCTCTCTCTCAAAAATAAATAAACATTAAAAAAAGATTTAAAAAAAAATAAATAAAAAGCACTTTAAGTAATTCTGGTGTGCAATAAAGTTTGAGAAGCACTTGTGAATATTCATTCTTAATATAAATTATATATATACTTTTAATACAAGAAAGTATAAGAAAGTAAAAATGTCCCATAATTCTACTCTTTTCATAAACATAAAAATGTGTGTTAAAGAACTCAGGTAAAACAGAAAGTTAGAGGTAAAGCCTCCCTTGCCATCACCTCATCAACACACACACACACACACACACACACACAAACACACTCCCTTTTTCCTAAATAACCACTGTAAGTTTCTTGTTATCCCCCAGAAAAATGTTAGCATGTATATGCATATACTTTGTATGATGCATAGAAAGTGAATCACATACTATGTTTACTGTTCTTCATCTTTTTAACTTAATATAATCCAATATCTCTATAGAGCATATAGAACTCTACCTCATTCTTTGAAACTGCTGCAGAGTATTGCATTAAATATATACACTAAAGTTTAACTCATTTTTCTCTATCCCTTTGTTTATTATTACAAACAATATCGTCATGACTGTTACATATATACATTTGACTGTGTTGTCTCTGTAAATCTGGTATAAAATTACCCAGGTAGAGACTTCTATGTTTTCTAGAAGCTTGAGACGCTCTTTTAAACTTAAATCTGCTAAAATAGAAGGAAAGATTTTTAGCAAGTGTGGTTCATATTAAAGCAGGTAGTTAGTGTTTTATATGAGGTAAACTAAGCTGTAGAAACAAAACTCAGTCATTTATTAACTTAATAAGACCACAAGTGCAAAAGGAAAAAGTACCATCAATGGGAAGATGGCAAAATGGAAGGAAATAGAGCAAACTTAGTGAAACTGTTAAGAAGAGCAGGATTAGAAAAGACCCAGAAAGTAAGATCTAACTGGGTAGTAGGGTTACTCGAATAAAGATTATTCAGATAGCACTGATTACTTCAAACATACAAAATAAGATATTCAAGTGAAAGTAAAATGTATGCATTTA